GTTACCCTCTGTTTTATAGATGAGGAGAAAACTGAGGCCTAGGTGAATTTACTTGCTTGTTGTCTTACAACTTCTTACTGGCAGACTAGGAACTAAAATTGTGAATGTAGTATAGACTCACTCATGTCTTTGTATAGTAACTCTCCCAAAGAGTTGTCCATACTTGGCTTGAATGGAAAATTCACCACTTCCTTGGACAATAGCAACTGTTAGAAAGCCTTTACTCATCTATGGGAAAAAAATTTATTTCTGAAACTTCTATATTGGTGCTAATTTTGTACTCCTTCCCCCACATACCTTTTTGTAACTGCTCAAGTACTTGAAAACCACTATTTACCAGATAGTTGACTAGATTTATGGTATTTTATCAAATACATTTTAAACATGGATTATCTCATTTAATGAATGTTGTATCCTTTGGTTTTTCTTTAAATATGTCTGGTTTGTTTTGACTGTTTTTAGGTCTGATGGACTATTCTTTTTACTTAGTATTTGAAGATACAAACCCTTTCTTTGATCTTTGTGTTTCTGTCTGGATTCCTCTGTGGAGACAACTATCTGTGGCTTGATTAGCATTAGAGTCTAGTAGTCCTATCACCACTACTTTGTTGTTGTTGTTTTGTTTGTTCTTTGAGATGGAGTCTCGCTCTGTTGCTTAGGCTGGAGTCTAATGGCATGTTCTTGGCTCACTGTAACGTCTGCTTCATGGTTTCAAGTGATTCTCCTGCCTCAGCCTCCCGAGTAGCTAGGATTACAAGTGTGCACTGTCATGCACAGCTCATTTTTGTATTTTTGTAGAGATGGGGTTTAACCATGTTGGCCAGGCTGGTCTTGAACTCCTGACCTCAGGTGATCTGCCCTCCTCGGCCACCCAGCGTGCTGGGATTACAGGTGTGAACCACTGTGCTGTATCACCACCACTTTTGGATGACAGTAATTATTGCTGTTTTATCTACTTTGGCAGTCTTATCTAGCCTGCTTTCAAAATAAACATTTGTGTTTCTCATATATGATCTTCCTTTCTCAATTTTGTCTCTGCAATTGGCTTTCTGAACCCAACACCAGAAATGTAGATTATTCATAAACTCCAGAGACTCTGCTTTAAATATATTTTTGTTTGATCGTTTTGCTGGAATTTTCCTCAACTAGTTGTCGTCTTTTCAGAAGAGGGTGGAACTGTGAGGACTTTCTGCTTGATCTAAAGCGATTTTATCTTCTCTCCAAATTTTAATTTTTTTGGGGAGAGCATGGTGTGTCCATAAAGGGTCATGCAAAGTAATGATTGATTAAAAAAAAAAAAAAAACAACTTGGGCCAGGCACAGTCGCTCACGCCTGTAATTCCAGCACTTTGGGAGGCCAAGGCAGGCAGATCATGAGGTCAGGAGTTCAATACCATTCTGGCTTGATATGGTGAAACTCTGTGTCTATTAAAAATAAAAAAACTTAGCCCGACTTGGTGGTATGCACCTGTAATCCCAGCACTTTGGGAAGCCAAGATGGGTGGATCACCTGAGGTCAGGAGTTCAAGACCAGCCTGACCAACATGATGATTCTCCTGCCTCAGCTTCCCAAGTAGCTGGGACTATAAGTGCCCACCACCACACCCAGCTAATTTTGTTGAATTATGTTTTTTATATATTCTGGAGACAAGTCTTTTGTCAAATGGATGATTTTTAGATATTTTCTTCCATTCTGTGGATTGTATTTTTGTTTTCTTGATTATTACTATACAGAAGCTTTAATTTTTGATGTAATTCAATTTATGTTTTTTATTGTTTCTTTTGCTTTTTATGTCACAGAATAAAAAATCATCACCTAACCTAAGTTCATAAAGAATTTACTCCTGTGCTTCTTTCCACGAGTTTTATAGTCTTAGTGCTTACATTTAAGTGTGGGGGTTTGATCCTCTTTGAGTTAATTTTCTATATGGTGTGAGGTAGGGATCCAGTTTTATTTTGCATGTGAATAGTAGATATTCATTTGTCTTTGTACCATATTTATTAAAAAGACCTTTATTTCTCTGTCATGTGTTTTACAATGTAAATTTGGTTGTAGAAACTTTGTGGCTTAAAATTTTGGGTGGTTGTATAGGTTATATATTTTTCTTCTTTATGCTATTCTTCATTTTCCAAATACCTGCAACAAAATTTTGGCAGCAAAAATACCTGTGTATGTATGCATGTATGTATGTATATGTATATATGCACACACCAGAGTATTAATAATGATTATTTCTGAGTGATGAGATGGGATGGAGGAAGGGGAAGGGATTACTTTCTTTTATTATTTAATACTTACAAATTTTATTATGAGCTTTTTTGGGCTAGTCAAAAATAGAAAAAGTTCTTGTCTCTTTGGATTATGCTAATTTACTTGAATTATTGTGGTGGATTTTAGACCAGGACCTAAAGTTTTTTTTGTTTTTTGTTTTTTGTTTTTTTACAATTTTTGCCTTTTTTCCTCCCTCCTTCCTTTTTCTTCTTTTTTTCCCCCCTTTATTCCTTCCTCTTTTTTTAAGAACAGTATATTGTGAGAATGCTTTCAGTTGCTGAGGGTTAGCTTCCAAAGTCAGAAGGTGCTATCGTAGGAGAGGGAAGGAAACCAATGATCACTTAGTGCCTATTTTTGGTATTATGCTTTTATATACATAATAATCCTTCACATTTTTACAGATAGGAAACAGGAGTACTAGACACAATGAGTGATTTCCTGAGGTCACAAGGCATAGTAATTGGTTAAAAGCAAGAGGTAGAGTCCGGTTCATATCACTCCAAAGGCGGGGTTTACTCTGTTTCTCCATGCTGACTAGTACATAATAAGCAATTCATTGAATGCTTGAGTACATGTGTGCACATTTAGATGGGTAAGTGGCACAGGTAGAGGAATCCTAGTGGAGAAATTGATGTTAAAAACAAAATAGTAATGGAAACTGGAAAATGAGTTACTTCAGCTTGAGGAAACTAGAAATTTTGAATTCAGTGAGAGCAAGTATTATATTTGTCACGGTATTTAAAGCATGTTAGTCATATATACATTTATTTATTTATTGCTTATGAATAAGATCTTAAAATTGGTTCCAAAATTTGGCCAAATGCCCTAAGAGGATAATGAGAAAATAATGTCAATACCATGTGTTCACATTAATAAAGGCTAAAAGGTTTTCTGAGCCTTTAATTAGTAAATAGACTTTGGTTTCCTGTGATGTCCTAGGTATTTTTCTACGGTTACGGGGTTAGAGCAGCAATGAAAGACTTCCAGTTTTCCATTTTTCTGCCTTCCTTTCTAATGAATTGGCACTAGTTTCTTTCTCAAAACTCAGCACTGCTTAGCAAATTAGAAATTTGTAATGGTAATAGTCCTGTGCCTGATGCTTTTAGTATTGATTCATAAGCCACTGGGGATACTTGAGTGAGAAATAGGTTTAATGAATTCTATTACAGGATTCCTGGTTAGAGGTGAAATTTGTTTGTGTCCTGTATATATGTTACTTCATGACTTTTCCTAATAGTGTGAACTGTACCCATGTTGATGGGTTACAGTGATGATCCTTTGACTCCAGTACTTGCTGTCAGGTGTGACCTTTGATCAGGTGAGGAATACTATCTCATCTTTGTATTGGACTTAATACTTTTAAAGTACTTTGAATGTTAGCCACATGTGTATTCACACAACTAGATGTGCTCTTGATTTACAGAACTGAAAGCTGTTAGAGGTGGAGTATCTATGATGTGAAATGTTTGGGACCAGGAGTGTTTTGAATTTTGGAATCTTTGCATTATATAGTTATCCCTCAGTTTCCTTGGATGACTTGTTCCAGGAACTCCTGCAGATACCAAATCTGACACTGCTTGAATCCCTGATACAAGATGGGATAGTATTTGTGTATAACCTTTGCACATCCTCTTGCATACTTTGTCATCTCTAGATTATTTCTAATACTTAATATAGCATAAATGCTATGTAAATAGTTGTTATAATGTATTGTTTAGGGAATAATGAGAAGAAAAAGTCTGTACATATTCAGTAGAGACATTTTTAAAAAAATATTTTTGCTCTTTGATTGAGTCCACAGACACAGAGGGTCAGCTGTACTTAACCAGTTGAACATCCCAAATCTGGAAACCCAAAGTGCTCCAATAAACATTTCCTTTGAGTGTCATGTTCACACTCAGAAAGTTTCTGATTTTGGAACCTTTTTGGATCTTGGATTTGGGGTGCTGAACTTGTATTTGTATAATGGAAAGAGATCAGGAGTCAAGACAGGAGTCAGGAAATTTGGCTTCTGTTCTTGGCTAGCTTGACTGATGTAGGGCAGATCACTTCACTAGCCTAAGCTGCAGTTTGCTACTGTTCACTTCTGAGGGCAGCTAGAGAGGCTTGAGAGCAAATTTTTAACACACTGCATACTTCAGACACTTTTTCATCTGAATTTTTTCTTTGAAGGATGATTCATTCTTATGAAACCATCTTCAAAACAAAGATGAAAGTGACATCAAATTACATGCACACTGAAAACTTTTATGACAGTTGTATCAAGGGGGATACATTTATTTTTGCAATAAATACTGAGTGCCTGCTATATAGTAAGGATTTTTGCTGGGCTCAGAATCATTTTCTAAGTTTGAGGTTGTTAGCTAAATCAGATATATAAGTTGTATGTGATAAATACGGGGCAGAAATAGGTATGCACTCTCAAAGTAGTAATAGCTTCTGGTTTAAAGAAGTGAGAGATCATGCCAAGTTGGAATATCTGGAAATATTTAAGAAAATGCTTTAACATGAAGTATTATTTTGACTGTCATTTCCGAGAATGGGGATGGATAGAGAATAAGTGAGTTGGGTAGAAAGGGACAAGGTAAGAGGGCCAAGAGGCAGAATTAAAATTAAGCCAGGGGAATAAGTGTGAATAGAAGTCTGGTGGAAGAGGTAAACAATTTCGGGGAGAAGGGTTTGATGCTGTTAGTGGCACTTGCCATTTCTGTGTTACACTGTACTCTAGTTCTGCCCTACACCCACCCCCAAAGAACAGCAGAAACAAGTGTTCAAGAGAAGTGTTTTAATCTGGAAATAATTAAGGAATTATGATGTTTTTTGAGATTTAGCTGCTGTTTGTGGTGATAAATTCCCAACCGTGAAAGTAAAAATAACTGTGAACATTTTGTTTTGCTTTTTAATTTACATGCATTGCAGGAAATACTAATTTAGTATAAGTTGGTTCATAATGGCAGTTAAATTGTGCTTGTGTTTTTCCTTCTTGCACAAAAGTGCTCTGTCTTTCTGGTTTTCTTCTTTTGGTTTTAATTTCGAACTCTGGGAAGAAGGATACTATGTAAATTTAATAAAATGATTTTTCCTCCCTTTTTGTTTTTTCCTGAATTTTTGTGGAACTTTCTGGTGACATGGAACCTAGGCGATGCGGGTGATGGGAAAGGCCTGAGAAATGCCAGGAAGACATGAGGGAGGATTGGCCTTTGGGCATCCAGTCTATCTAATCCAGCCTACGTTATTTCATATATGTTACCATTGAGGAAATCAGTTTAAATGTGAATGCTGATTATGCCAAATTTCTACTTTCTATGGATCATTTTACTCCTTAGCATTTAGAGGGAAAGATATGTAGTTGAGCAGAAGAGTGTAACAATGTGGCTCGTCTCTGTATACTACTATGTATATGTAAAATAAAACTTAATCCAAGCCTGTGGTGAAAATAGTCTGCCAGGCTTCAGAGAAGTAAGACTTTTGGTCAAGGAAAGGGACATCAGCCTATATACCCTATATTCTTTAAAGAATGTATAGATTAGGAATTCTCATTTAAAAATTAAGGTCTTTTATGTGACCATTTACCGTTGATTATTTTCCCCAATACATGATCCTATTGGATTAGCATATAGAATTTTGACCCAGAGAGAGCATGCAGTGCCCAGCTTCTCAATGGTTAACAGCTGTTCAGCCTAATGCATCTCATAGAATGTATGTGGGTGTTGAATGATTTTTTTAAACTAGTGTGGGAACACTTGGTACCTTCTCAGTAGTTATGTGGATGTTTCTGTAGTTTCCCAAGCTAATGTGAGAGATCTTCAAAATGATGAAATTTTATTGAAAGAAAACAGATATGTTAAGAAATGGAAATGCTGAATAGACCCTAGCTTGCTCTAGATGCTCTTTGGCAAATTGCTGGGTCACTCACACATTTTAAGATAACAGTATAGGCCAGGTGCAGTGGCTCATGCCTGTAATCCAGCGCCTTGGGAGGCTGAGGCTTGAGTCCAGGAGGTCGAGACCAGCCCAGGCAACATACTGGGACCCTGTTGCTACCGAAGAAAAAAGAAAAGAAAAAAGGCCAGGCATGGTGGTGCACACTTATAGTCCCAGGTACTTGGGGGGGCTGAGGTGGGAGGATAGCTTGAGCTAGTGAAGTCAAGGCTGCAGTGAGCCATGATTGCAGCACTGTACTCCATTCTGGGCAACAGAGTTGAGACTTGGTCTCAAAACAGACAAACAAACAAAAACCAAACAGACAAAAAACAACGATAATGTATAGTTTAGGGGAAAAATGTCTTTTACCTTTAAAGTCTTGGAATAATTGTATATTTTAGAATGTCTGTATTACACCTGTGGATCCTTCTTGGTTGTATCTCTTGTTAACCTGGATAAGATGGAGAGGTTTTTCATGGACTAGTGTTTGCCAACGTTCCACACTTGTGTTTTATGTTGTATTGTGGAATATTCAGACTTACAAGTGCAGTGAACCTTCCCGTGGGTGCATTGCCCAACTAACTGTAACAGGCATCTTATTCAGAGCTATCCTGTTTTTTTTTTTTTTTTTTGAGACGGAGTTTCGCTCTTGTTACCCAGGCTGGAGTGCAATGGCGCGATCTCGGCTCACCGCAACCTCCGCCTCCCGGTTTCAGGCAATTCTCCTGCCTCAGCCTCCTGAGTAGCTGGGATTACAGGCACACGCCACCATGTCCAGCTAATTTTTTGTATTTTTAGTAGAGACGGGGTTTCACCACGTTGACCAGGATGGTCTCGATCTCTTGACCTCGTGATCCACCCGCCTCGGCCTCCCAAAGTGCTGGGATTACAGGCGTGAGCCACCGCGCCCGGCCTATCCTGTTTTTATCTAGAACACTCCTTACTTGATTGTTTTGAAGCCAATTCTATACAGCATATTATTTCATCTATAAATATTTCAGAATCTATTTCCAAAAAATAGGCACTTTTTTTTTTCTTGCCGGCCAATCTTTTTTTTTTATTTTTTATTTTTTGAGACGGAGTCTTGCTCTGTCGCCCAGGCTGGGGTGCAGTGGCACGATCTTGGCTCACTGCAGCCTCTGCCTCCTGGGTTAAAGTGATTCTTCTGCGTCAGCCTCCCGAGTAGCTGGGACTACAGGCATCATGCCACCATGCCCAGCTAATTTTTTTTTTTTTAATTTTATTTTTTATTTTAGTAGAGACAGGTTTTCACCATGTTGGCCAGGCTGGTCATGAACTCCTGACCTTGTGATCCGCCTGCCTCGGCCTCTCAAAGTGCTAGGATTACAGGCATGAGCCACTGTGCCCGGCCCTTTTTTCTTTTTTTTTTCCTTTTTATTTTTTTTTAGGTATTTCTCCCTGTGCTGCTTCAAAAAGATTTGTAGTGGAGGCTGTATAGAGGGCTTGAAAGAGTAGAAATGAAGCACAACTGATAGTGACTTCCAGAAGAGAGTATTGGATAGATCCAGATCCATAAGGGGACAGCAGTGATGAGAATTCATTATCAGAAGATGTCATGCCTCAACCCCTACTGGTCTCTACAAGATTTCCAGACCATCTTACACTTTGAATGTTAAAAGTGCCTCAGGGTCTAGTTCTCACCGTCCTTCTTTCTTTTTCCTTTCTTCTTCTTGCCCTATCTTCAGCCCTGTCTCTTTTTTTTTTTTTTTTTTTTTTTTTTTTTGAGGCAGAGTCTTGCTCTGTCACCCAGGCTAGAGTGCAGCAGTGTGATCTTGGTTCACTGCAGCTTCCGCCTCCCAGATTCAAGTGATTCTCTTGCCTCAGCCTCCTAAGTTGCTGGGCCATCAGGTACATGCCACCATGCCAGGCTAATTTTTGTATTTTTTTTAGTAGGAGTGGGGTTTTATAATGTTGGCCAGGCTGGTCTTGAACTTCTGACCTCAAGTGATCCAGCGGCCTTGGGCTCCCAAAGTGCTGGGATTACAGGCATGAGCCACCATGCCTGGCTTCCCATCTTTTAAGTACCATCCATATACCAATAGTTTGTAATTTATATTTTCAGTCCAGCTTTGTCTTCTTTATGAAGTTCAGACTTATTATCTGATTGTTAGTCTTATAAACACATTATAAACATTTAATGTGTTTATAATGGAGCTCTTGATTCCTTCTGCTAAAACCCAGCTTATTCCACTGCACCCACCCTTCCATCCTCATCCTTCCTCATTGCAGTTTGCAGTAAGCCTAGAAGTTTTCATTCATTTCTGTCTTCCTGTCTGATCACTCCCACTCCTAGTCTTCTACAGTACTCTAAAATATATCTGGGATCTATTGATTTCACTTATCTTCACAGCCACCATCGTCTCTCCTTGAATCAATATAGTAACCTCATAATTGATAATTGATAGCATGGACATTTTTCTCTAAAATATGTTATTTTATATTCCAGCTGAAGTGGTCATTTAAAAATGTATCATATTATTTCTTCTCTTAAAAAATCCCTTTATGAGTCCCCCCCGTTTCCAACCCCCTGCCGCCTTTTTGGGAGACAAGGTTTTGCTCTTTTTTCCCAAGCTGGAGTGCAGTGGTGCAGTAATGGCTGACTGTAGCCCCAGCCTCCCAGGCTCAAGCAATCCTTCCACCTCAGCCTTGTCAGTGGCTGAGACCACAGGCTTGAACCACCTCATAAACAGCTAATTTTTTTAAAGTGGAGATGGAGTCTCACTGATGCCCAGGCTGGTCTTCATCTCTGGAGCCCAAGCAATCCACCTGCTTCAGCCTCCCAAAGTGCTGGGATTACAAGCATGAACCACGGTGCTCAGCCCCCATTGCTTTTAGAATAAACTTCTTGCCAAAGCCTTTGAGACCCTACATACCCTTATTCCTTCTTGTTTTTTTCAGCTTCACCTGTTACTATTCTTTGCCTTGTGATACTCTGGCCTCCTTGCCCTGAACCAGTCAAGAGCTTCCCTACCTTAGAGGCCTTCTCCTTACTGTTCTTATAACATTCTTTCCTCATGGCTGTCCTAGTCCCTTCCACAGGAAGTGGGTCAAATACCTGTGATCTCTTTCTTGACTAACTTTTCCAAGATAATTTCTCCCAATTATTTTGTCCTGTCATTCAGTTTTCATTATGTATAGTACTAATCATAAATGATAATTATGTTGTTCATATATATATATATATATATATATATTTTTTTTTTTTTTTT